ATGTGGTACACAAGTACAATAATGGAACTGTAGTTGTCTTTTAAAGTCCTTACTCTTTAGATATATACCAAAATATTCACGGTTGAAATTGATTCTGGGATTTGCTTCAGAATAATATGGGATGGGGAGGAGTGGATAATTGTATAAGCAAATTAAGACTGGTCATGAGTTGTTACTGTTTAAGATGAGTGACAAGTTTGTGGCAGGTCACAGATACTATATTATTTTTGTATGTTTAAAAATCTCCATAATAAACATTTAAAACAAGGGTATACATAATACAACCAATCACATTTATAACATAGAGAATAAATTGTTAAAAAAAGGGGTGTAGATGGAGGGAAACTGTTAGAGGAGATACTCCAGAGAATTTAGGAAAAGGAGCACACTGAACTAAGTGGTAGTAAAGAAATGTAAAACAAAGACTGAATCGTGGTTATTTCCTTATGTTAGTGGTTAGGCTTCATGGACATTGTAGGCAAAATTTTTTACTCACCATCCCCCTTACCTTTTTTAAACTGTAAGAAGCTCCATAGCTTTTATTACACAAAGGAAAATTAAAATCCCCCCAAATTAATAATCATTGAATTAAAATGTATTTTAGGATACTCAGGCTTTATTAGATAGCCCTTTGAATCACTATAGTCCAGTTCACAAACTTTCAACAAAGCTCTTTCCTGCTTTAGAACTCTGCTAATGCTGTTCCTTCCAATTGGAATACTTAGTACTATGTATTCATACTTCAGATCTAAAAGTGTACTTATTCCCTAGGGGCTTTGTGAGAATTAAATATGTCATGTACTAAGAACTTAAAATAATTCTTTACATATAAATTGCTCAGTAAATGCAAATTAAAACCACAATGAGATACCACCTCACACCAGTTAGGGTGACCAACATCCAAAAGACAAACAACAACAAATGTTGGCGAGGATGTGGAGAAAGGAGAACCCTCCTACACTGCTGGTGGGAATGTAAACTAGTTCAACCATTGTGGAAAACAGCATGGAGGTTCCTCAAAAAGCTCAAAAAAGAAATACCATTTGACCCAGGAATTCCACTTTTAGGAATTTACCCTAAGAATGCAGCAGCCCAGTTTGAAAAAGACAGATGCACCCCTATGTTTATCGCAGCACTATTTACAATAGCCAAGAAATGGAAGCAACCTAAGTGTCCATCAGTAGATGAATGGATAAAGAAGATGTGGTACATATACACAATGGAATATTATTCAGCAAATAATATTCAAATACAAATACAAATTTAAAAAAAAATACAAATCCTACCATTTCCAACAACATGGATGGAGCTACAGAGTATTATGCTCAGTGAAATAAGCCAGGCAGAGAAAGACAAGTATGAAATGATCATCTGTGGAGTACAAAAACAAAGGAAAACTGAAGGAACAAAACAGCAGCAGACTCACAGAACCCAAAATGGACTAACAGTTACCAAAGGGAAAGGAACTGGGGAGGATGGGTGGGAAGGGAGGGATAAGGGGGAAAATGGGGCATTACGATTAGCACACATAATGTAGCGGGGAGGGCGGGGAGACGACATGGGAAATGTAGTATATACAGAGAAGACAAGCAATGATTCTACAGCATCTTACTACCCTGATGGACAGTGACTGTAATGGGGTATGTGGGGGGGACTTGATAATAGGGGGAGTCTAGTAACCATAATGTTGTTCAAGTAATTGTACATTAACAATATCGAAATTAAAAAAAATTGCTCAGTAAATATCAGCTATCTGAAGGCCCATTATTTACATAGGTTTCCTATCACCATTTTTCTTCTCAGCATCCTGATAATTTCTGGTTTATCACATTTTATTATTCTAGAGTACAAGTTCTGTGAGGGCAAGATCCTTGTTTCACACCTTATATACCCAGCACGTAGCACAAAGTAGCACTCAAATATATTCACTGAATAATTAAACTAGAATCAATAAAACTTAAAGATTTAACAAATACAGGGAGAATAAAGAAGAATAAGCAAATTAAGGGTCTTTTGGAGGAGAGGGGGAAGGCAGGCATTTGAAATGAACTGAATAATGGACATACAGAAAAGTTAGAAATATGCCTGAAACATCTGAAAGCCAAATTGGTAGCAGTTCAGGCAGACCTCTAGAGGCAGCCTGTCCAGGTTTAAATCCCCACTCTGCTGCCTCCTAGTTGCATGATCTTAGGCAATTACTTAACCTCTGGGCCCCAGTATTCTACTTTCAAAAAAAAAAAAATCCCAAGAACAAAAGAAACCAATTGTGCCAACCTTATATACCATAAGTGCATTTATTATATACTAACTAGAGAGAAAAATATAAGAACATATTTACAATACACATAAACTAGACCTGGCATGTCATGAGGGCTCAATAAAACTTTATTGAAATGTACTGAAGTAGTGTATGACACATAATGGTAGAAAAAAAATTACAAGATCCCTTTCCTATAAAAAATGCTAAGACAACCAGGTAACACAACAGTTACAAGAGTGAGAGTGGGAGGTAATAAGACCACAGGCTTTGGATTCGAACAAACCTGGGTTCAAATCTCAGCTGCTATACTTTATAACTGGGTGACCTTGGCAGTTATTTTAGCCTGTTTGTCTTCTCATCTGTAAAACAGGAACACCTAACCTCCTATGGTTGTAGTGCTGATTAAACAGTTATAATTTTTACATAACACGAATTGCCCAAATTCCACAAACATTCCATTTTTTTTTCCAGTTCCTAGACTAAATCAATCAATCTCTGGAGGATTTAGCAGGAGACTGCGTATTTTTAAAGTTTTACAAGTGAGTCTAATTAGCACTCTGAGTTAGGAATCATTGTCCTAGAGACTTACTAACAAACCTTTACCTGAGTCCAAGGTAAGGAACCATCACAAAGATGAAAGAGCTTTAAGACTTGATCCTTTGGTTTAGTTCCAAGTTTCTAAGACAAACTTTAACCTCAAAATCCTTTTACGCAGAATAGAACTACATACTGCAAAACTCCAATCTAAAATCCTTTCTAAAGCCAAGGGAAATATGATTCCATATTGAAATGTTACATCAAAATTAGGTATACCTTAGCCTCTTCAGTCATTACTTAAGTTTTAATAATGTACACTTTAATACTGTGTAGATGAACAGTGACTCGAGACTGTATACAATATGTAACCTGCCTTATTATCTTTCTTAAAAATAAATTTAAGCTTACAGTTAAAACTTCCCAATGAACTTTTTAATCCAACACATACATTTTAAAACCTTCATCTCACAAGCGATCATAGTAAAGACTGAAGGCACCTAAAGCAAATTCAGTATTCCAGAAGCAAACCTGAAACCCTATTAAGTAACCCAATAAATCACTTTAGAGAAATATATACAGAAAAAAACACAAACACAATCATGAACATGAACATCTTATTCAAAAAGAATCAGCATGAAATAACGAAAATCCTTAGGAAAAAAACTGTTTTAGATAAACTGCAGAACTTCTTCAGTATGAGCCTTTAACAAAAAACACTTAGAATGGCTATACCAGAATATGTCAACAGACTCACTGGAGAGCAAGCAAAGGCATCTTCCCTCGGACTTTTATGTTCCTATCAAGAGAAGAACTAGAAAATAAAGCAAGAGGCTACGGTAGATAACAGAGACCTCATTAATGTATAGACTTTGCTAATTTAGACATAAGACAGTTTCTCAACTATTTACATCAGTGACACTTATGAATGACTTAATGCAACTGCTAACTTGAAAAGTACTAAAATCCAAGCTTTCCTACAACAGTACAAGGACCATAAACACTGTATCAGGTACTGGGTGAGGTTATTTAGTGAACTCAAGCCTCAAATGATCTGTAAATACGATTTAAAAAAATTTATGCCTTACCATTGTCACTCGCGAAAGAATATTAAGTTACCGACATCGTGCAGTAAAAAGTTGTGTATTAACGGAACTCTCTAAACCCCAGATACTCTAAAGCAGACTATACACAAGTTAAGAGATACAGACAATTCTGACTTAAGCTTTTAGAAAGTTATATTTTTAAAAACCCAAGAGTATATCAAAGCACAATTCTACAAGACTGAATTGACTAACAGGTATTTATAATAATTTTTTTCAAGACCTGATAAAGTGTTAAAATACATTAAGTATTATTACTTTTTTAAAAAGTTTAGCTTCACCTACTTTGTAGCGTCAAGTTTACTAGTTCAAAATCAAATTAAGGAATATGTATTTGAGGACACCTTTTCTAACTTAACCCATCTTCCTCCTTCCAACATTACATTTTCCTAGCTATTCACTGTTGGCATATGTTACATGTCAGTGAACAATACTGCTTACATTCTAAAAATATATCAGTCTGAAGAACAGGTGCAACACTATCTGGACATGTTTTTTTCTTCTAAGCCTTAATTTGCCCTGGAAAGGGATTTTAAAATAAGCATAAATACCCAAAAGAGTTGAACAATCCTTTTAAAAACATAAGCCATTCTGAAATTCAAGACACGAACCCCAAAACTATCAACATCTTCCAAAAGTTAGGTAAACCATCCTATCAAATTTTCACTTTAAAAAAGATTGAGTCAGGCTCAATTATGAAGTGTTCCGCAGATATTTCATTGCTTCCTCTACGTAAGTTAGTAACTTGAGACAAGTGTGTTTTACTTCAAGATAATGTTACATCTTTTCTCAGTTGTTTCATAAAAAACACAGGCTAGCTTTTTATGGGTAAAGAAGGGGATGGAAGAGGGAGAGGCCCGGTGAAGGGTACTCTAGACAGAGAAACTCAACACAGAGACGCGCTTATGAATCAATCACCAAGGAAGAACTGAATGGGAATCTAAGTGAATTAAGGCAGCATACCAGGTAAGAAGGTATTTAAAGTTGGCGGTAGGAAATGAACTTCACAGGTCAGCCACAAGCCGGTGTGCTCGGTAGCAACTCCGGAAAAAAGCGTGGCTGTCAAGGGGCAAGTGCGTACCAACTCCGGGGGAGGGGGCCAGACATGCCAAATCGAAAAGGGGGGTGGTCCGGGGAAAGGTAGGAAAATGCCCATCCCAGTCCCTCTCCTCGGATTTTCCATCTCAAGAGGCACAAACAAGGGCAAGCTCAGCACCCAGTAGCTCCACGCCGTACTCTCCCACTGAGAGGAGCTCAGCCCCAAGCCCCGGAGGCCCCAGCCGGCAGCCTCTGGAGGAGCCCCCGCAGTCGCCATACTAAAAGTCAAAATGGCTGCCCCAAGGAAGCCCGCACCACGCAGCTAGGGAGGGCTGGGGAACAAGCTTCTGCGGAAAAGGGGGAGGGGGACTCTCGGAAGAGCTGTCCAGAGCTGCGGCCCGGACCACCGCCCCCCGAGACGCACAGGTAGGTTCCTCTCGGCCTCCCGCGCCCGCGGGCTCCGACGGAGGCGAGTCCTGCCCCATCCCCCGGCGGGGGCCCAGGCGTCGCAGCCGTCCCGCACACCGACCCCGGAGTACCTGCAGTTCGGCCCGCTCCACTTCCCAGTGCGCCCGCTCCATCTCGAACCGAGCCCACTCGTGTTGAATGTAGTGCAGAATCCCCGGGATAGTGTACTGTTGCGGCCGGGACAGCTCGGGGCCTGCCGCGGGACCCGCTCCCTCTGCAGCCGGAGGACTCCCGCCGCCCGCCGCTCCATTCCCCGCTGGCGAAAGGCTCATATTCCCCCCAGGACCCTGCTGCTGCCGCGGAGGGGCCGCCATCCCCGGCCCGCCACCACCGCCTCCGGCGAGCTCGTCCATTGTGTGTGGAGCCCCGGCCGGGGCGCAGGGCGAGACGCCTACGGCTGGGGGAAGAGCCGAGGAGGGTGGCCCCGCGCTGGCGGCGGGGCGGAGGCCGGATGGGAGAGGGGCGGGAAGGGGGTCGTTGCTGTACGCCTGCCTTGGGTCAGAGCAGAGAGCTGCCGGCCGCCGCCATTACAGTCCCTCCTCCATCTGCCCGACTCACTCACTTTAGGGAAGGGGGGCCACGGCCGGAGGGGAGAGGGGGCAGGGCTGGGAAGGGGGTCGACGTACGGCCGGCGCTCCCGCGCAGCATGCCGGGTAGAGAACGCCGCCGCCGCCGCACGCTTAGCAGCTAGAGTCCGGCCTCACCCTACGCAGGCGTACTGAGGACGCAGGCGGGTTTCCGTTAGAGGCGGGGAAGGAGCTCTGGCTCCGCCCCTAGGTCCTCCTTTGAACTCGCGCGGTGTCTAGCCGCGGGTATCGAACAGCGGGGCTGCGAACTCCGACTTTTGAGAGCTAGCTAGTCTGGCATCCCAGGGATTAGCTTCCCTCGGTCTTAGTCCCCGAGCGCCGTTCTCACCCAAAAGTCAGAGTGGCGTGCCTGCCTTTGGATCGGAGTTTTAACCCAGCTCGTCTCTCTGGCCGGCCACAGCCGGTCCCGGATTCCTGGCGTTTCTTTTGCATTCCTTCCGTGTTTCAGGCAGTCCCAATGGGTCGGGCCTCTTTTCTCTGCCTGTCGCTCGCTCTTTTTCTGGTTTCTCAGCACCAGTCAGTTCCCGGGGCTTTGGGGACGTTCTCTTCTGGGTAATAGCCCGGATCCTTCCAGACTTGGTGACTGATCCCCATCTCCGTTTCGAGGCCGGGCTATAGTCCCAATTCTGTGCTCCTGGTCGCCCGTCGCAGCTTGTTCATTTTGCCTTCTCCTACTCCGGAGTGGGTTGTGATTTGGGGATTTGGGAGGAGACCAGGAGCGATTGTTTTCGTTTTTTTCTTGCGAGAAGAGGGTGAAAAACTTTAGATCTTGGCCATGGTGGATGGAGGGAAAAAGTAACTTTGAAGGAGACTGGTTAGACTAACAATTTGATGTTGTAGAAGTGAAAGCTTAGAAAGACTGTCATTCGTAGAAGAATCTTGATGGAAAGAGAAAATAAAAGCATCGTGAAAGCAACCTAAAATCCTAGATGAACGGCTTAAGATGTTTTCTTGGGTCATTAAATGTTGTTTTAGAGAATGTAATAGACACATAAAAGACAAGATTAATCTTTGTAGTACCATATTGTGTGTTTTTATGTGCTTAAGTTGTCAGGAAATACCCTTAATAAACTAGTAAGATTCTAAAAGTTAATACAGCTAATAACCACTTTGAAAATAAGACAAAAGTAATATTTAACAACATAAAGAGGGTCAGTCAGTAATTAGATCTATGCAGGAAAATTGCATTAATTCTCTTTTCCTTCTCTTCTGCCAATAAAATATCCACTGGAATATAAATGACCTCTCAGGGTGTATTTTCAAAGAGATAAAGTAATACATCTTATTTTATCATGTCTGCTTTACTGCTTTTGTAGTTTAACAGAGAGAGACGATTGAGCTTGTTACCCAGGCTGCCATGTTTTATTTATACATGAAATGAGGTCCTAGGTCACTATTAACAACTATTTCTCCGTATTATTAAAGTACTATTACTTCATTTTATATCAACCACATAAGTCCCGCTATTCAATGCACCACGCTGCTCCGGACAGAGAAATATTTGAGTACGAACAAACATTTGTGAATGGGGGTGATTGACTTTCATTATGTTGGCAACAAAAGAACAAATGCACTTATATTTCCCACTGGTACCTCAAGCTCAAGTAGAGACTGGATTTATAATCCTTTTTCCCTCCCCACCTACCTTCAAAACAAAAAACAGAAAATACTGCTCCTTTTCTATTAACTATCTTATTAAGTGGCACTACAACCAAACCTGAGGCCTGACCATCATTCTAGTACCTTTCATCCCCTTAGCCCCCACTTCCGATTTCTTTCTCAATAACGTTTTTCTTTTCCATTATCTTTTTTGCATGTCTTAACTTAAATCTTACCACGTCTACTCTCCCCACCTCCCACTACCAGTGGTGCCTGAGTGATCTTCAGAATGCAGATCTGATCCTGCCATTTTCTGCTTAAAATATTTTAGTGATCACCAGACTTAGAATAAAGCCCAAATTTTGGACCAGCATATAAGGATCCTTCAAATCTAGATCCTCCCCATCACTTAATCTGCCACCACAACATCATGGTGAGACAGGGACCATGGATGTAGTCAGAGTAGGGTGAGGGCCTCCGGATGGGGCAGGGTGGGATATCTGCAGTCAGAGCAATGTAACTACATGCAAGGAAACCCCCCCTGCTAAAACTCTATGTTAAACATTGAGCTCTAGAATCATTCTTCAGTGAAATCAGTTAATGTTCCCCAGATAAAGAAGAGTAGCACATGTTTTATTATCTAATCATTTGCAACCATGTGTAAGATTCACTTTACCATACTAAAAGGCCCAGGCCTATGTGCTGTCTTTCCTCCTTCAGATCTGAGGAGGTGATTCTGCAAACTGAGCTACTTAACTTAGCATGCAGACCCAGCTGTAAATGGCATAGTAAAGGGCAGGAAGAATTCCATCTTGAAGATAAGATTGCATTTTAACACCCAGGAAGTTCAAGAGGCAAGATTCTTTAGCAAGTAGACAATACCTCAGCCCACCTTGGGAGCTGGGCAGGCCCAGCTACACCAAAAGAAGCCTTTTGATATGCTCCCAGACCAAGGTGCCGGTGTCCCAGAGAGAAATCAAGGCAGGAAATTCCTTACAGTTAAGTTTATTTTTAATATTCAGGGACCACTTAACAAGCCCCCACCCCTAAGTTTTTTCGTGTTCTCGAAAAATCCTCAACTGCCTATTAAAAAACCCCTAGACAATGCACCACTACGGACTCTCTTGTCCCCTCCTGGCGTGAGCCCGGAGCTCTGTCCTTTCACTTTATCTCTAAATAAAAGCCTGCACCTTGCTCTCCTACCTTGACTGTGAAGCTCATTCTTCGGCTCTGCAAACAAGAACCCCCGGCATCAATGGCACCCCATTCTTCACTCTAGCCGAGCTGCACCATGTGGGGTTCTTGATATGCGTAACACTGTTTCATTCCATGAGATTTTAACACATGCTGTGTCCCACTGGTTTTCCTTCCCTTCTTCCTTCAAAATTAAGTTGAAGTATTACTTGATCCAAGAAGCTTTGCAGATCCCTGAATTATCTGGAGACTCTATCCTAATAGTATACATGCTTATCTCCTAATATTACATTGTATTGATATTGTCTATGTACTTGTTAGTGGCATTCCTACTAAACACGATGAAAGCAAGACCTGCACATAACAGGTGCTGCAAATTTTTGCTTCACTCATTTATTTTTCTTTAATTTATTGATTGGCTACTGTTTTTCAGATACTCTGCTAGTCCTTGGTGATCCACTGTGATCCAGACAGACATTATCTCTGCCCTCACAGACTTTCCAGTCTAGTTTTAGGCAAATTACTTAGCACCAATTGCCCGGCTTCCTCAGTACAGATATCCCCTGCTTTTAGGAAACCACTTCAATTTAATGAAAGACCTACATTAGTACCTGTTTCACTAACCAAAAGAAATCCAAAGAGGATTTTCACTTTTACAAAAAAATGGTGAACAAAAACAGCATTCAGCATTTGTTTTGCAGTGGGCCTAAACAGAGGCAGTGCACGCTCTGCGCGGTGAGTGGCCCCACAGGCTCCTTCCCTGGGAGCTACACTGAGTATCTCCGTAGTAAGCACCATGGCTTCAAACTGTGTCTGTGAGCATCTGTGCTTTATCTGGATTTATTTTGTGCTTCCCTTAGCAAGATGTGTCTAAGGTATCAGAAAAGCCTAAAACAGGTTATTTTTGGCATCTGGAAATGCTCAAAAAATTTTCTCTATGAATTAATGACAACTGTTTCTTCACCTTATGCCATTTGGGCTTATGAAAGTTTTCATAGGAATACTCTTATTTTCAGAGAGCAGAGGAAATCTGTATCTTGTCCAGGTCTGTCTTAAAACTATTTTTCAATTTCAAGTGTGCTCCCTATTTGAAGAATTACAGTTGAACATATCTACATTCACTTTCTCCAGGGTTTTATAAATGTTGCTAATGCAATCTTTGGGCATATTCTTCCCTGATCATAGTCCTTTATCTGCAAGATTGTAGCCTCCTCAAATGACGACCCATGACCTTCTTGTTCACATAGTTCACAGCTCAATGTCTGGGACCATGAAATCCCCAATAAATGTTTGATGGATAACTTAAATTTAGATTAGACTAATTGAATATTTTTCTTTCACTTCAATCATTTCTTATTAGTTTTTGCTACCATTGTAGCAGTTATCTCTTAGGGTTCAATAACTAGAATTGCCCTGAGTTTATGTGTGTGTGTTTCCTTGTGTTTTGCTCTGAGTATTAAAAGTAAAGTACACCAAGATTTTCTCCTCTGTTGGGAGAATGATTTTTACACTGTTGAGTTTTGTGTCCATGACCCCTGAGGACACTTTGCAGTGAACTTTTAGAATCTTGTCCTCTGAAGGTAATGAGCTTTCCCCAGGCCATATTATCACCTCCAACTTAACCTAACGGAAACTCCCTCCATAAATTGGCTGAGTTATTTCCTCTCTTCAGTCTCTCCTTTGAAACTTATTTGTTGTCCTTTCATGAGTCCTGTTCATCCCTCCTCCACTCCCATTGATTCTCAGTTTCAATATATTGCTAATGATCATCAAGAAAGCCTTTATATTTAATCAATTTATAATTTTAAGGTATTTTTTTCTTTCCCATTAGCTAATCTTAAACACTTGTGTGCTTATTCTATTTGCCCAAAAAGGGATTTGTCATATTTCATGTGCATCTATTACATTAGCAAAGATATGTTAGGGAATTTCAGGCTTTTAAATAAGTCACGAGCCGTTAATGTTCAGATGCCTTTTCCCAATTACTGCAGTACCTGATGTACAAAGAGTTTTGATCCTGTCTTGGAGAACTGTATGGCTCCCTGTAACTACTCACTGGAACAGCCAGTTTTATGCCTTGCTGACTATGTACCTGATATCCTTCTAACAAAGAGCTCAAACTGGTTCACAAACCCTAGTCACCTTTTTTCATCATCTGAAAATGTTGTGACTGTATTCTTATCTCCGTGGGGAAGAGAAAAAGGTGAGAGAAGAGTTCTGGGTCACTTCCACAAGTCCTTGGCAGAAGAGGAAGTAGTTCTCACTGTCAGTCAGTGAATGTATATGTTTATTTGGAAACAAGAAATAAAGGCTCTTCACTATTCTGCCTCCCACTG